TATGATTTTAGTGTGTTTATATATTGATGAATTGATGACATATTACTCACAGGAAGTTCTGAATAAGAGATAGCTGAGTTCAAGAAAGTTCTGATGAATGCGTTTGAGATGATAGATCTTTGGAAAATGAGTTTCTTTCTAGGGATGGAATTTATGTACTCTGAGAAATGAATCATTTTGCATCAGATGAAGTATGGACTTGAGCTTCTAAAGAGATTTGAGCTAGAGAACTGCAAAGTTGCTATCACACCTGCTGATACGAATCAGGAGTTGGACTCTGATTCTGATGGAGAGGATGTGGATGCTACAACCTTTAAATAGATGGCTGGTTCTCTGAGGTATTTGTGTAATACCAGACCTGATATTTGCTATGTAGTTGGAATGGTTAGCATATTTATGAGTAAACCAAAGTGATCTCATTACCAAGCTGCTGTCAGGATTGAGGTATGTGAAGGGAACTCTGAAGTATGGAGTGTTATTTTCGTCTGGAAGAAAGATCAAATAAGAACTTCTGAGTTATTCAGACTCTGATTGGTGCAGAGATAGAGTTGACAGAAGAAGTACATCTGGGTACTTATTCAAATTTCTGGGAGGTTCTATTTCTTGGTGTTCCAAGAAGCAACTTGTTGTTGCGCTGTCAACCTATGAAGTTGAATATATTGCAGGTGCTCTGACTGCATGTCAAGCTATATGGATTCTGAACTTGTTGTAAGATCTGAAGATTGAAGTAGCCAAACCTCTGAAGTCGATGATTGATAACAAGTCTGCAATCAATCTTGCCAAGAACCCAGTGCTGCACGGGAGAAGCAAGTATATTGAGACCAAATATTATTTTCTGAGGAATCAAGTTCAGAGCGAAATATTAGAAGCTGTGCACTGTAGCACCTAGAAGCAGCTGACAAATGTTTTAACAAAGGCTATCAAGACTGATCAATTTATTCGCTTGAGGGATGAAATTGGTGTTGTCAGTTTTGGATAAAATATAAATTAAGTGATGGTGTTAGATTTAATCTATATTTTAGAAATATCTTTTGGATATTAATCTATATTTTAGGAATATCCTTTTAGAAGATATTATTATATCTTTTTATATCTTTGTCAGAGGATATTTATGATTTTATTTTGTGTATAAATAGCGTAGTGAGGTAGCTCAATGTAATTCATTGTAAATCATTATTCCTTATTTTATAGCCGTTCGTCATTTGATATATTCTTTTTGCCTTTTATCTCTTCTTTGTGCACCAACAAAAACAATAAAAGTTCGTTTTACATGTTTAATTTTTATTTTTTTATTTAAAATAAAAATTAATTTTTTAATCATTATATTTCCCCAAAAAGAAATAAATCAATTTTAAAGTAATTTAGTTTTTATTTTCACGTGTCTTAGATCATTTTTGGTTCTATATGTATTTGTTATTTTGATGTTGTACGCAACCATCTCTTCTTCTTTCGTTTTAACATGTAAAACCCTTGAAGATAGAAACAAAAATAAATTTAATCTTAAAGATATTTGGTATTTTTTTCTTCAAAAGACCATTTTTATTTTTTTAAATTCTCAAACAAACAATGGGGTTATCTGAGAGTTGGTTTTTAGAGGGTAAGACTTTGGAGGGCTGCGCCTATATCTAGAAATAAGTTTAATATTTTGAAAAAGTTTAAAAAACAATATACTAAATTAGCATATAAGATCATATTATTTTTTATACTTTTTAAAAATATCAAACATATTTCTAAATATAGACGCAATCCTCCAAAGTGTTCCCCTCCAAAAACCAACTCCTAAACAATTCTTAAAGATAGAAACAAAAATATATTTAATCTTAAAAAAATTATGCATATTTTTTCTCAAAAGACAATTTTTTTTTTAATTCTCAAACAAACAATAAAACAAACTTTTACAATAATACATATCGAAATTATTATTTTACTCATAAAAAAATCATATTCAATCTATATATATAACTAATTTTCAATAATCAAATTGTATAAAATTAAATAAATTAAAATATATATATTTTTAAAATTATTTAAATATATTTTAATCAAACATGTGCACGTGTTTTTTTACCTTTTAAGAATAAAATAATAATTTTAAGAAATATAAAAATTAATAGTTTAAAGGTTGGTGTGATAAAATATTATAATCATTTTATTCTAACGACTTATAATCAATCTATTATAATTTCTTTTAATCTCATCTATTAATTTTCAATAAATAGGTATAACTCTCAGTTAGTACTAAAATTTGCTTCGATAACCTTATTTACAAGTAAAACTTTTGTATACGATCATGCATTAATGCCATAATTTTTTAATTAATAGTTATGCAGCAATATATACAATATTATTTTACATTTTAAAAATACAATTTATTCCAATATTTTAAAGACACGTAGTAGATTATTTTAAAAAATATAACGTTTACAAAATATAATTATAACTATAATTTATTTGATAAAAACTATAATATACTTATAATGTTTTTTTCCTATAAAATAGTCTATAATACGAAGAAGTAAAATTTGATTATATTTTTATTTAAATGGTTTATGTGCAAATAAAAAAGTACATATCAATTATTATAAAAATATATAATTTTATTTCTAATATACCCGTGCGAAGCACGAGTCGACAATCTAGTATATTTTTAATTCAACATAGTGTATATATTTTTACCCATTAATATATTATCATTCAATTCCAATAATCAAATGAAAACCCACCATTGCCTCGATTCTTTGAGCTCTTGAGTTTTTCCTCTTAGGTTTTCTATGTTGGGGGAGATTATTAGGAGCATTGATGTATAATGTAGGAACAAACAACTTTGTGAGAGACACACCACTTATCCACCTAAAAACCTTAAGGTGATAGGTGAGTGGGTTCTCCCACTTATATATGCTTAAGTCTCCATATTCCTATCCAATGTGAGACTATTTACTTTGTGAGAGACACACCACTTATCCACCTAAAAACCTTAAGGTGATAGGTGAGTGGGTTCTCCCACTTATATATGCTTAAGTCTCCATATTCCTATCCAATGTGGGACTATTTCCCCACTTACTCACACTTGCTATATTATTCAAACACTCCCCTCAAGTGTGAGTCCACAATGCTCTCCTACTTCTTGGACGAATTTTGATACAAGTTCCTTCCGGTCCCTTTCTCGAACCAAAGGCTCATGATACCATGTTGGGGGGAGATTATTAGGAGCATTTATGTATAGTGTAGGAACAAGCACCTTTGTGAGAGACACACCACTTATCCACCTAAAAACCTTAAGGTGATAGATGAGTGGGTTCTCCCACTTATATATGCTTAAGTCTCTACATTCCTATCCAATATGGAGACTTAAGCATATATAAGTGGGAGAACCCACTCACCTATCACCTTAAGGTTTTTAGGTGGATAAGTGGTGTGGATAAGTGGTGTGTCTCTCACAAAGGTGCTTGTTCCTACACTATGCATCAATGCTCCTAATAATCCCCCCCAAACATTCTCCTCTTCTGCTCCTCTTATCTTTTTGCCTCTTATTCCTCTTTCCATCTTCTAACCTTATCTTATCTCTTTCTCTTATTTTATCAAATCTCACAATTTCATAATAGTTCTATTGGGCTTACTTAACCCACTCTCACACTTTCTATTCACACTCACAATCTAGGCCCAATTACTAATTCTGCGACTTCTATATTATTTTCACCAAATAAAATAAATCACATAATTCAATTAAGTCAATTAAATCTATTAAATCAACTATGCACGAAATCACATAATTAATTAATAAATCATATATCACCAAAACCACCAAATAATTAATTACTATATCATATAATAATTAATAAAATAAATATATAATCTCATAAATAAAAATAAGGGTGTTACAATGGTGTTGCACCATGAATTTCTAAAAATTGTGCATGTGGTGGGTGGCATATATAGAAATGTGAATTCTAAGCATCTCGACAACTTCTATTCTTTCATTGGTTTTAGAAATGTGTTGCTTGCAGAGCTAATGGGGACAATCTTAAGGAAAATTTTATGGTGAAGTCATTAAAATGAATTCTTTAAAAAAGTAATATTCTGGCCAATCAGAAATGTGCCATATACCCTAGAATACCACATAGGACTATATCATACATACAACTTACTATGTAATCTCATATTTATGAATATTGCAATTAAGTTCCTAACATATTTAAAGTGACAAAATCATCCAAATCTTTATATTGTTTTTAAATTTTAATTGTTATTATGAAAATTAATTAAAAAAACTTTAGACGAACATCAATGTCATATTCATCTTACTCATTTCATCAACGTCATATTCATCTTGATCATTCCACCGGAAACCCTACTTTTGTGTTTGTTCGCCATATTCGAACAAACTCAAGTTATTCATCGTGCTCACTTGTCATTTTTGAACATCAACATAACATTCATCGTGTTCGTCCTCCATTGTTAAACAAACTGACGTCGGCTATTCTTTTGAAGTTCTCCCATTCAATCTACCAAAAATCTACTTATGTTCGTATTGGGAACACTGTTGTTAAGGTAAATGCGGAATTTTTTGTTATATTTGTTTGAAATTAATTATCAAGATTTATGGGTTTCAAGTAAAATATAATCAGAGGGTGTTAATTTCGATTTCAAATTGAGAATTAGGGTTTATGCTTGAGTTTGTTTTATATACATGGGTTTTTTGTTTGATGATATCAAAATTTCAATTTTGTTAGGTACCTTTGATTTAATTAGGAAATTAAGTATTGTGATTGATGTTGAGATTTGTTGTGTTAAAAATTGTGTTAATTCAACTTTGGTGTTAAATTTGATTTAAATTTGAGAATTAAGATCTATGCTTGAATTTGTTTTATGTACATGGGTTTCATTTTTGATGATTTTGAATTTTGAATTTTGTTAGGTACCTTTGATTTAATTAGAAACATAGGTATTGCGATTGATGTTGATTTTTGTTGTGTTAACAATTTTGTTAATTCCGGTTTACTATGGAAAACTACGACGATTATGATTCCAACGACTTTCATTGTTGTGATAGTGATACATCTTATGTTGAATCGAATGATGCTCAGGATCATAATTATTTGGTATCTAGTGGGTATCAAACTTCAGATGATGGAGATGGCACTGATAATATTCACAATGATGATTTGGTTGAAGTATATGCATTTGTAGGTGATAGATTGACTAATATTAATTCCATTACTGCTGATGAAATTCGTGCTATGGAATTTGATACAGTTGATGATGCTTATGAATTTTATTATCAATATGGTAAATGTAAAGGCTTTGCCTTTAGGAAAAGTGATGTTAGGACAAGAGGGTCTGAGGGTAGTAAAATAACAGTAATGAGAAAATTGGTATGTAATAAACATGGTTTAAGAGAGAAGAAACACTTAAGTATGGTTGATAGGAAAAGATATCACATACGTTTGACCCGTACTAAATGTAAGGCTAGGCTTCATGTGCACTACAAAGCCAACAAGGATAAATATGTAGTGTCCGTTTTTGAAGAGCCTCATAACCATGATGTTAGGCGACGAAAACAGTATCTAGAGGGGGGGGGGTGAATAGATATCCCTTTAAAAATATCCAAATAAAATTTGGTTTTGGAAAAGTTTTATCAAAGTGAAATGTGAAATCTTTTTCAAATTGTCGTCTATATGAATGTTATCGGGAAGCTCAGATATGCAAACCATAAATCAAAATTTACATGGAATGAAATTCTGGATATTAGATCCTGGATGTCCTAAGAGATGTCGAGACACCGGATCCGACTTCACACACAACAACAAGATGTAATGGCAAAATAAAACAATGCTGAAAGTAAATAACACAAGATATGTTTACCCAGTTCAAAAAAACCTTCCTACTCTAGGGGCTACCAAGCCATGGAAAAAACTAACTAGATAGTATCAATTTGCATACCTTACAACAAACCTCCAGTTTACAGTCTACACACTTAATCACTACCCTTTGCTTAACTTCTACCTAAGACACACCTAGGTATAAGACCCCCTCAAATCCCTCTTCAATTACACTCAGCAATTGGAGCAACTCTAAACACAAGTAGAGAACAAAAACAACCGAAAGCTATACTTCTAAAACACGTAAAACTCAATGCTTAAAAACTTATGAGAATTGACACATAATATGTCCAATGCTTAAAAGCTTATGAACATCTCACAGAGAACTTACAACCCAACAATTAAGTATTCTAAAACCCTAACACAAATACATCCGTAAGTTCCACCTAAAACTAGGTAATACCAGTCTATTTATAACTTTATTCTAGACTGGGTTGGGCTTTAAAACCGCAGGAGTGAGGATGCACAAAGTCTGCAAAAAATCCTCCAAGATAATAGGTCTTCAATCATTAGTTTCCTAAAGTGTCTCCATAATTAGAAACTATGCAATCTTCGAAAACCAACATAAGAATATTCTAATTTGTCAATCTTGGACGCCACATAAGCTAACTGAATATTCAATATCTAAAAATTAGCTGATCCACATTGTCAGCTTATGCAGACGTGATGTCCTAACTACTTGTTGGGACATCCTTCTTGACATGTTGAAACAAAAAGTTGGAATATCTTGTTCAACATGTTGCTGCTAAAATTGTTTTACCAAAATGTATGCCAATCATAATTTTAGAGAAATAACAATCTCCCCATTTGGCACATTTTGGCTAAAACACTTAAATAACCCTTGCACAATAAAGTATGCTTGAAAATAAATCAAACATACACATCAGAGGTACATCGGCGGAGAACATATATGCAAGGTTAGAAACACATAAATTAGCAGCACACACATCAAATAGTTAGTAATTGGTTGATCTACTAACACAACTGCACCAAAAATAGAGAACCTAAGTTCTCAATATAATGATGTCGAGACATCATGTCTGACATCTCAGCCTCCAGTCCAGAACAGAGCATGGACTCCCCCTCAAAACATGCTTATAAAAAACAAGGAAACAAAAATTCTCCCCCTCAAAAGTACCATTAGTAGTACTGTACCAGCACCCTTGATATCATACTACTCCCCCTTTGTAGCCATAATATGACAATGGTAAGCAGACAATATTAGCAAAAGAAATTTAAAGCACCTAAGATTTAAGTAGCATGACGCAGAAAATAAAAAGTATCCCTGGCATTTAGCCCTTACAAAGTCATAAACCAAAATAAACAAAAACTGAAGAAGGCTACCGTCATCAAGTAGTAGCAGCACTAGTATCACCATCCTCTTCAGCACCCGAGTCATCACTATCTTTATCATCTCCATCACCATCAGATATTTCCTTATAAGACACGTCTATTTCAGATGTGTTATTTCCATCAGACTCATCATCAGAAACCTCAGGTTCCTTTTCAGGTTCCTCCATTAAGGCCTTAATCAAATCTTCAAGTTTAGCTTTTCTAGCCATGCCAGTCCTGATAGGGTCTTCCAATTCCTACAAGTTTATTTCAGTTGATAGATTAAATCCTTCTTTTATATTTTAGGAACAGGCGCCTCTAAAGATGTTACATTAATGTCTAGGGCATGTGTTCCACCAAACAATTTATGGTGCAGGGATAAAGGAGTTCCTCTTTTCTTTACATAGCTAGTCTTCAATAGAATACTAGGATACTGTCCCAAGATTATGCCACATATGAGTGAGGGAAAACAAATTGGCATCTTCACAGCAGTTGAGGTTCCTTGCTTTACGACTTGTTCAAATATATAAGATCCAAAATCTAGTTTTACCTCTTCGCCAACAACATAGATGAATCGTTCAAGTCTAGTGAAAATGGTAGAGGTATGATGTATTGGTACCCAATTGATAGTGGCAATACTATGAAAGATAACATACTTAACACTAAGTCTTCTAGATGATAGTTTTCCATTACTTGGCCAATGCTTTACTTGACCACCAGTGATCTCAATGTAGATTTGATCATTTGAGTCTTATAACTTAGTCTGAGGAACTTCAGCCCTCCCTAAAAATTTGTTGATCTCCTCAGGTGAAAAGTTCATAGTTTTTCCTCTTACAACCACCTTCCCATACTCTTTGTTGCTCTCAACATTTCATTCATCAGAAATGCTCATAACAAATTATTTGACTAACCTTTCATAACACGAACTAAGGTCAATGAAAGTTCTCATCAGTCCATCATTCTCTATGAGCTTCACAACAACTAGTCATTTTTTAAAATCCTTTACTAACTCTCTCTTCAGAGCTATCCTTCTCTGGTAAACATACTTAAGTTTGTCAGGTTGGATGGATACTTTATTCACTAAAGAACGCTTTTGATCAAAGCAAGTATTTTTCAGAGCAGATCTCTTGTGAGAGGCTATGTCCTGGACATCTTTTCCAACATCATACTCAGAATCACTAGAGACAAGCTTACTCTTCTTAGTAGGAATAATCACTTTACTTTGAGACCTTGGGGGACCTATAGGGATTGTCCTGTTGCAAATATTTTGAGGACTGCTATTTGTTTCTCCAGCCTTTCCTTGACCCCTTTTTGAAATACATTTATCAGTCATTATAGGTTCTCCTTTTCTGGTCTTAAGTCTTCTAGCTATACTAAAACTCTTGATTATTGGTTCATCATTAGAGGCTAGGTGATCAATGGTTTTTACACAGATATTTAGCAGTTATTTTAGTTTTCATTTCTTTTACTTATCAAGTTTTTATTTTGTTTTATTGCATATTATGCTTTGGTTTTGTCTTTTAGTGTTTTTAGGTTCAAAAGAATAAAACAGGACAAATTGGGGCAAAAAAAGTGCATAATTCAAAGTTTTTGAGGAAATGCTACAGGAGCCCTGACATGGGTGGTCGTGTCACCTGACACGGACCGTGTTAGGAGGAAGACGTGGAAAGTGTAGTATTGTACCCCAAAATTTTCCATCCCATTTATCTTAAGACATTCTCCTAGGGTTCTCAAATGCTCAAGGTTGCTCAAGAATTGATCAGACAAATTCTCCTCCTAAGCAATGGACTTACAACTAGGGTTTCATTTTTATCAAGGAAGATTAGGTTTCTAAGGCATCAAGTGGATTTCATGGTTTCTCATATGTCTCAAGGAATTTTCATACCAAGTTTCATGCCTTGCATCACAAGTTTGCTCAATCAATTGCTTAAATGACTGAAAATCAACTGTATTGGACAAAAAGTCAACTGCGGTCAACATACAGTCAAACTTCAAGATTTTTGGACAAAATCAAGGTTTTGAATTAACATTCATCATTTGATCAAGGGTTGATCATGATTCATCAAGAAAAGTTCTCAATTCATCAAAAGTCAAAAGTTGCTAAATTGGGGTTTTCTTTAGGAGAAGTCAACTAAACTTTGACCAAGCATAAATTTCACATGCTTCATTATATTTTCCTTAACCAAAGCTCATTTAAAAGGAAATTCAATTCTCTACAAATTCGTCTCTCTAAGCTCAAGTCCAAAAAACGTTTCATTTGAGAGATATGGGCCAATACATTATAGGTCATTTCAAAAGTCAACAAAAAGACACTTTTTGTCAAGGCAACTTACATCAATATAATGTCTTCAAATGCAAAAATGAGAAAAATAAGTATTTTAGAGGACATCTTGAGCTTTCCAAAAAGTTTAAGATAACTTTCAAGTGATAAAAATTGAGAGAGTTATGACTAGTGCAAGTTGGGAAATCTTGAGCAAATGCATGAAACCTAAAGTGACCAAACTTGGATTTTTGAGCTAATGGGCTATTGTTTCAAAGTCCAAACGTGTTTTGTAGCTTATAATGAACCTCACATCTTACTCATGCACCCCTTGACCTTTTTATTCTATTTATTTTGATTTTATTTATTTTAAAATTCAAAGTAAAACTAGATAAGATCAAGGCTTATTACAAGAGTCCAAGCCCAACATTTGACCTAATCTCATCCTTATATATTCTCTTCATTCATACAAACCCGAGGAGACGAAATCCCTTGCAAAGAAACTTGTCCAAAAATTACAAAAAAGTCAAAACTAGGGCAACCTTAGAACTCTAGTTGTAGCCATTTCCAAGGCAAACAAACTTGTCCATTCACTTCACACAACGCTACAAAGTAAGAATGGATCAAACTTGATGATCCAAAGCTCCTAAAACCCGCATGCATACATCTCCGATCTCATTGTTTTTGCAAAGTTCATATTTCAGTTTTTATTTTGCTTTAAGGTATACTAATGATATCAATATGTTTCTGAGGTATGTTAGTGCAGGAAAAGTCAATCGCATGACCTCCATGCTACTAGATTCACGAGTTGCCATAACCATACCGATCCATGCAATTTTTGCTGTAGCTCCTAAACCAGCATGATTCAGCCTAAACTAACCGGTCCATTGAATTCACAAGCCTTGATTTAGGGGGGTAGGGTCCCTCTAGATCTCTAATATGTGTTTATTTTGTAGGAACAAAAAAAGAAGGTCACTGGAGAAGAAGACGACCAGAGCTAGGGCTCCGACGCTTCTCCGGTCAAGTTGTGTTGTTTTATTTTATATTTAATTTGTTTCAGGAATAACAATGGATGTATCACCACCCCAGTGGTTAAAATGATGCGCGAAGG